AGTTAGCGCATATTCCGAGGAACCCTTCAAGATGTAGTGTCCCGTTAACACTACTCCAGCTCTAGAACAAAACAAAGCACACAGAAGCCCAAGTGGCAGCTCTGCAATCTTTCCCCCCTCAACCGTCCTTGGAAATGTGACTCTACTCTTCCCCGGGAGGACCCTTTCTGTACATAAAAAGAGATTCCCTTCTCCATATCCTTGTATGCTTCCTTAGTAAAGGACCACAAGGGTGCAAATTATGGCCAGTAATGTTGATATTAGTGTGATGGGGAGACATCCTCTAGGAACTGGATAAAGATGCCCAGTGCATTTTGTACAGGCCACCATAAAGAAATTGGGAAGAACTAACCATTCTTTATCCAGAGTGGAACAGCTTGAAATGGAGTGACTGTGGGAGCCTCACATCAGAACACCCCTAACACTGACAATGTGAACAGGGGCAGTGGATCCTTTCTCTATGCAAGCCCGTATCAAGGATGATCTCTCTCTCTCCTCCATTCATCAGTGAGGTGTCTAAAGTCACTGACACACCAGGTCCCGGAACCCTAATTATTGAAAGAAGCCAGCAAGAGTGGCAGAACGATTCCCCCTTCTATTGAAATGGAGTACTACCGGTGCTGTAACAATAAGGTTACGTCTACACTACCCGGTAGTTCGGCAGCAAGCAAATCGAACTTCTGGGTTCGACTTATCGTGTCTTGTCTGTACAAGATAAGTCGAACCTGGAAGTGCTCGCCATCGACAGCGGTACTCCAGCTCGGCGACAGGAGTACCGCGAAGTTGACGGGGGAGCCTTGCTGCCGCGTCTGGACCGAGGTAAGTTCAAACTAAGGTACTTCGAACTTCAGCTACATTATTCACGTAGCTGAAGTTGCGTACCTTAGTTCGAATTGGGGGGTTAGTGTAGACCAGGCCTCAGTGATTCAAATCCAGTACTGGTGTCAGAGGGCTTGACCTTAATGTAGTTAACACTGCCCTACCAGTTTACATAAGAGTTGAATTTGTGCTGTTCCTCATGAGACCCACAGCTTCAAGTCTGGAGACTCCTTACAAGTTCTCAGAAATGCCGTAAAATCAAGTGACAGCAATATTTGTCTTATTTGTTCTTTTGGACTCATAAGAAAGCCCAAACGCTAGACCTCTGCCCAGTATTGTAAGAATATATGTAAAATACACTGACTTGGTCCACCAAATCCTCACCCATTCATCCTGGGAAACATTCTCCTTCCTTCAGCATAAAAATCGCCCATTAACCAATGGCAAAATTTCCCCCATCAGTCAACGAGAATATTTTCCTCCTTCAACAAGCAGTAGACTTCTCTGCCCTCCACTAACCAGACAAATCTGTCCTTCACCATCCATAGACTACTCTGCCCCTACCAATTATTAGATTATCCTCCATTCACCCACCAAAACATTCTCCAGCAGAAACAGCCATAGACCTGCATTTGACAACAATCACAGACCTTCCCTCCTCCTTATTCCCTATTCACCATCCATACAATTCGACTTAACCAAACTAGACTTCTTCCCTTTTCACTGACCAGGGGATCATTCCCCATTCATTGACTTTAACATTCTCCCTCCTCCAACAATGAAACTTCCATATAATTTTCCCATCAAGCCAGCTAAGCCCTAAGGAAAGATTGGGAGAATAGGTAGGCCAGCAGCACATCTTGAAGGTCAACAGACTTGGTTTGCAACTTCAGAAGACAATTCCACTCTCAATAAAGCATCATTGATTTGTTCAGGTGCCTCAGCAGATTACTGTTGCCCTGGTGTCTACATTAGGATGTGAGGAGGGACACTGTACCTTGATGTTTTCCAGTGAGGCCATAACAACAAACAAAGCTTGAAAGCAGAGCTGGCCAAAACATGGGATTTCCGCTTTGTGGGAAATGTTGCTATTTCAAAATTTCCCTCTAACTGAAAACTCTGGGTCGGAGGGGGGGGATGTTTTACAAACACCAACACATGGTACTTCAGAAACAAAATTTGCTCCACAGGCATCTGCTGAGTGAAATTGACATTCTTGTCAGTTTCATGGCTGCTAATAGGAGCAGAATGTGAGTTTCACTCAACAGCTGATTCCAGGTTCCCAGGCCAGCTGGTTGCCCAGACTATGTGACTCAGTAGCCATTTTAGGAAGCCAGCTGCCCTGGAAGTCTGGAAGCCCTGGTGTTCCTGGGCCAGGACCTTCGGCATGCTGAGATTACCCTCGAGCCACAGCCTCTGGGAGCCCATACCAGGGTCTTCAAACTTCCAGCTCCTTAGCAGCTCAGCTTGGCAGGCAGGCAATCCATTGCCAATCTGACCTTTCTTCCCTGAAAATCCATCAAACCTGAGATGTTTCTGTGAATCATTTTGGGTTCTATGAATCAGCATTTTTGGACAAAACTCTGTTTCAGCAGTAATTTTCCATCCAGCTCTAATTGTGAGCTACCCTGTGATTTACCTCTGACAGAAGCTGAAGTGAGCTCCTACTCTGTGTCACTGGAAAAACTGAAGGAATACAGAAAAATCTTTTTGTATTTATAATAACTTTGCTTTTTCAGGAAATGTGATTCAGCTGAGTTGATGGCCCCTGTGCGAACATTCCAGCCATGCAAACAGGAACGTTTCTGGAAACAGTGACATTTTGGCAAATTGGACGGGTTTTGGTCAGTGCACGCAATGGCACTTGCATGGAAGCTAGGGAAGAAACACACCATGTTGGTCAACATCTTGGTGATGAGCATGTTTGTGAGCAGGATTTCCAGGAGGGAGAGGTTGTTGATGAAGAGTTGTAAAGGACTGGTAAGTCTGGAGAAGAAGGCCCAGAGATTCTGGCTTTGAGATAAAAAATTATTTTATGTTAATAATTCAGACCCAAGAAGGGGATAGTAATTCCAATGCACCAATTGTAAGGCTTTATTTGACTGGGAAAGGAGAGAAATGGAGACAGTGTCAGGGTCTGACACCAGTTTCTTGTTAGCCTTAAGTACTATGCATAACCCTAACCCATATCCAAAGGGACTTAAGCATGATTTTACCTTTAAACCTTCAATGGGGCCACTCATACGATTAAAGTAAAGACTGTGTTGAAGTGGCTGTGGAATCAGGGCCTTTGTACAGAGTATTCCAAGGGAGTGAGTTTTAAATTGATAATCATGAGTGTTTGGAGCAGATCCTCAGCTGGTGAAAATTCTCAGAGATCTATTGACCTCAATGGCGCTATGACAATTTACACCAGCTGAGGACTGGCTCCTTGATTTTTAAGGATCCCGAGTGTGATACTTCCATTTGTTCAGAGAAATGAAAGAGAGCATGTCAAAAATGTATCCTGTCAAAACTGCTCAAAGTTCAAACATCAAGTATTTTAGGATGAACTGTTTATAAATGACAGATAGAGTAAGATATAGCCATAAAAATCATTGTTAAATAATGTTTAATAAAGAGTATTTATAAGAAAATCATGATTTGGACATAGACAATCATTAACAGGAAAAGAAGCAAAATAATTTGCACAATAATCTCCATAGATTATTCATTATTTACCTAGCTAGCTAACATAATTCACAATCAAATAGAAATCTATCATTATGACTCAATGAGGTTGTCATTGTGGGGAGCAAACCTTCAGCTCACTCAGAAAACCCCATCAAAGTGATGACATATTGGCACTTCCAAGAGAGAACAAACATAGAAAATCCTGTCTAACCAAACACTCACCATCTCCCCAGGCTTTCCC